CATCTTCGCACGGGCAGCCCGTGCGTTGGCCAATTTTTTCTTGTACAAACGAGTCTGAGCTGATGCGCATGAATCTCACATCTACATACAGGATGAGCTTTGAATGTTGCTCCAGTATACAACTCCTGATGTTTTTGAAGTTAAGCCTCTCCCAAAAGGCAGTCGATTGCTGCCGAGCGCTGAAGACCAAAATCGGCTTAGGATATTCGAAAAAGCGTGCCCACCTAAGTAAACTGCATGCAAGAAATAACTGAAAATTAGTTTCAGATAAGAAATGAAACAAAAAGTGACGGCGCTGAACTAAACGCCATAAACCAGCGGAGCATATATGACGTGGTAAATGCATAAATACAACTCGACCAATGCAGCATCGTTGGGCCCAGCCCCTTCCTAATGCGAACAAAACCGCATAATCCACTAATGGCATTATTTACCCATAATTTGTTCTTTTTCACTTCCGTTTGAAGACGAAACGGAGGAGGAAATGCCAACCCGATAAAGGTTCAACTGAATGAGGCATTCCTGCTGGATTGCCTGGCTGCTTCTACGCCCGCTAATTCAACAAAAAGTCTTCTTACGTACTCTGAAGCATGCGCTGTGCGCATCACTTTTTACTGTAAATATTTGGTCATTGTATATGAAAACTTTATTATATATTCGTCCCCTTCATCCCGTTTTAGTCGTATTTTGGAATGCACCTGCATTCACAGGATGTTGCACTTTTGTTATTTTTGTTTTTCAAATCTCTTTTCTAACCCCTTAAAAACCCTTATTTCCATTTTCTCTTTTCACATTCCCCTTTATCCTAATTACCACTTTTATATTTTGGCACATTTTCATCCCCTCCAAAAAACTATCACATCCTCTGTTGGGACGGTTCTTACTCCCTTTATAAACCTCCCTACCATTCTTCGAGGCTCGGTTTCTTCTTCAGCCTCTTCGCGGACTTCATTCTCCTCGACCGACATCATCCCCGCCTCGCTAGCTACGACTCCTGCTGTCGCAATCTTCGAACACTATTGGGACTTGGACACCTTCGTCTCGAAGCCGGAACTATTCGACCTCGGAACCCCCCTTGCTAAATCCACTGCTGAGCAGGCCATCCCGTTCGTCAGCGCCCAAGCGTCACGCTTTGTGTATTATTGCTATTATCTGCGTCGCAATAAGTAAGGCATAAAACTTATCATTTATCCAATTGGCACCACGCCACACAGTGACCCACACATGTAAACGTTCATCCCATAGAAATTTTTACTTACACATTTATGAATTTGAGATACACTGTTCAGAAAAGGGTGATCTGCTTGCTAGAAACTTACGCTGCGCCGGCTTCTGCTCGCAAAAGACAACCCCTACACTCACAATGCGTAACCAGGTTGCCAAAAACACCGTAACTTTGGCCACAGATAAATGCCTTCATCTACACTGAACCGTGTAACGCACTGCTCAAATTTGAGCTGTATGATTTGGAGCTACAGTTTCAGTGTTGAAACATACGGACTATGTTACATTTCCAAAACTCGCACTTGTAAAAATTTATCTTCTGCCTGCAAAAAACTTCAGCA